GCATGGCGGAGGCCTGTTTTTTATAGAACTCGTTTGTACTGTATGCAATTGTTGAGAATTATCAGATTTTAAGGAAATATAAGTACCTCTTGTTATCCTGAAAATGGTCGGTGTCTTGGTACGGTATCGGTAATTTTTTTTTTTTTTTTTTTTTTTTTTTTTTTGGTAATTGTCTGAATTCTATGGTCGTACCAAGGTGATGGCTCCTTTTGGTATCCCTAATATTCTAATGATAGTGTATGGTGATGATAGTGTAGCTTAGGAATGTGAAGTATATTTGAGAAATTTGGATGGAAGAAAGATTCGAGTAGTTGGTAGCTATGAGAAAGTATATTAAAGAATATTTACATTTACTATTCTCTTCCAGACGTTATTGATTAATGGTAAAACTAATGGTATTAATGGTAATGTTAGTAATTAATGATAATGTGATTTATAACAGTGTTCTATTTTGACTGGTAATCTTTGAAGGTCCTGGGCACGTATTGGCATGAGGTGGTTGGTACCCCTGGGGCTCTTGGTGGTTGGTAGCTCTGAGTGATGAAGCGTGACCTCCGTTAACCCTGGGGGATGCAAGGACGAAGGCGATAACCTGATGTTCTTCGCCGCCATTAGGACGCTGCGGAGGAACTCACGCTAACCTTAATACTGCCTTTTCGAGAACAGAGAGAGAGAAGACTAGGAATATATCTTAGATTTAAAGACAATTTAGGATAACGCTATTAAACAAGAGGAGAAAACAGAAGGTGGAAGAAGAAAGAAAGAAAGTACATATACACCAAGAGAGGATAGACGAGTTTTGAAAACTTGACCGAGAAAAACATGAGAGAGAGAGAGAGAGAGAGAGAGACGCCAATATCGGACACGGGAATTATAGTGGTTTGCGAACTGGCCAATCAGGTCGCAGAACCCAGGTTAATACCCACACAACTAGCCATTACTGCTTGATGTATCGGAGCACTGGTTCAAAATGGTCACGTGAGAACATTTTTTCGGCCGAATCGTAAATAATTGGTTGCTTGTAATAAAAAAAAAAAAGAAGAAGGGAAGAAAGAGCGAAAAAGGGAGATGATCTTTGAGTTGTGTAGAATTGCGTGGGAGGCGTTGATGAGCTGTGTCATTATTAATAGATAAGTTAGGTTACTGTCATGGGTAATAGCGATTGCGGGTGGGTGATTTCAATGCGATTACACACACACACGCACACACATACACACACAGACGATTTCGACGGAAAGGAAAGGGGGAAAAAATGAAATACAAGAAAATTGTTTCTTAATCGACAGTCTTCCGAAGTGGCGGGTCGCGCTGCTCTTTTGTTTTTGGAAAATCGAATCGTTTACATCATTTTGGTTGTTTATTATTATTGTTTAAGAATATGTTACAATTCCTAAACAGAGGTAAAGAAGAAAAAATGATCAAAGAGAGACTTAAAATGTATGAATAATAGATAAACAAATCAAACGCGACGCCGAAATCACCGCCGTTCCGCCCACTCTTCCCCCTCCCCAAAAAACACCGCTCGCAGCCGCCGTTCCCCCGACCGGAGCCCCGCCCTCACTAACGCAGATTTTACACACCCGCATGCAGAGACCCCCGTTATGAGGACTCGATTTCCTCATCAACAACCCTCCCGATTTCACAGAGTCACAGATTTCACAGATGACGGCGAGGCAGATTTCACGCACCCAGAGAGATCATGACCTGGGTCTGTATTCCTCTTGGCTCGCGCTTGACTCCATTTTCCTTCTCTTTCTTGGGTTTTCGTTGTTGTTTTTTCGATATTTTTCGTATATTTTGTCTTATTGCTTGTTATTTTTTTCTGGGGTTCGTGTTTACTTGCTCTTTCTTTTTTTCTCTCTCTCTTTCTTTCCTTTTTTCCCACTTCTTGTCTTCTTCTCTTTTTAATGTATTCATTTTCTGGATTTATTGCTCTTCTTTCGTCTATTTCTCTTTCTGTTTTCCCCATCTGCGCAAATTCCTCTCCTCTTCTTCCTTCTATCACGTCTTCTCCTCTCCCTTTTCCTTCTTCTACCATGTCTCCTATCCTCTTCTCCTTCTTCCTCCTATCACGTCTTCTCCTCTCCCCTTTCCTTCTATCATGTCTTCTCTCCTCTCCCCATCCCTTCTTATTCCTTCTATCATGTCTTTTTCCTCTCCTCTTCCCTCCATCTATCATTTCTTTCTCTTTGCTTTCTTTTACTCACTCTTCCTCTCTTTTTATCGTGCCTTACTTCGCTCTTCCCCGTTATGTTTCCTCCTCCTTTGGTAAAAAGTGTAATGACAGAGGGATATGCACATACGTTTTCCGAAATTTGCTTATGTCATTCATGGGGGTTGAAGGGGGAAGATAGAGCTATAATCAGAGTTCCATGTATATAGCTCTTTCTCTCTCTCTCTCTCTTTATTTTTTTATTTATTTATCTTTTTTTTTGTGACTGTGTTTGTCATCTTTCTCTGTTGCTTCGTTTGTTTGTTTTTCTTGTTTATCTTTTTTGGGTCTGTCTCTGTTGGTTCGTTTGTTTTCATGTCTATCTCTCTTTCTCTTTCTCTTTTTCTTTTTTTTTTCTTTTTTCTCTCTTTTTCTTTTCCTCTCTTCTCTCTCTCTCTTCTCTCTCTCTCTCTCTCTTCTCTTCTCTCTTCTTCTCTTCTCCTCTCTCTCTCTCTCTCTCTCTCTCTCTCTCTCCTCTTCTCTTCTTCTCTCTTCTCTCTCTCTCCTCTTCTCTTCTCTTCTCTCTCTTCTCTCTCTCTCTCCTCTCTCTCTCTCTCTCTCGCTCTCTCTCTCTCTCTCTCTCTCTGCTCTCGCTCTCTTCTCTCTCTCGTCTCTCTCTCTCTCTCTCTCTCTCTCATTCTCTCTCTCTCTCTCTCTCTCTCTCTCTCTCTCTCTCTCTCGCTTCATTCTCACTTCCTCCACCCCTCTTTCTCTCACCTTCACTCCCTCTCTCCTTTTTCCCTCCCTCCATGTCTTTCCTCCTTCCTTCCTTATTGCCTCACACCCTCTTTCCCACATCATTCCTCCTTCTCTCCCTCCCCCCCTCCCCTCCCTCTCCCTCCCACCCATACACTCTCTGCACTCGCTCATTTGTCGTGAAAAGTGAGCTTTAATGACAGAATTTTGAGGAAACAATTAGTGCGCGTTATTTGTCTCTCTGACTTGCGAGTTGGGGAAATGTTGAGTGAGTCCCGCGTTAAGATTCTCTTTTTGCGGTCTTTGCGGTTCTGGTGTTTAGGGGAGGCAGGTGTGGGTGACAGTTCTTTTGTGTGAGTGTGTGTTTTCTGTGTGTGTGTGTGTGTGTGTGTGTGTGGGAGAGAGAGAAAGAGAGAGAGAGAGAGAGAGAGAGAGAGAGAGAGAGAGAGTGAGTTTCTTTCACCTCCTCAACATTTTGCCACATCCTCCTCTTTCTCTTCTTCCACTTTCTGTTCCTCTTCCTATCTTCCTCTACCGAATATCCCACCTCCCTCATCCTTATTTCCCTCTCTTTTTTTTACTTCTACAACCTTCCTCATCCCCCATTTCTAACTCTACATCTTTTCATTTTCCTCTTCTCCTTTTCTTCTTCTTCTTTTCCCTCTCTTCCTCTTCTTCTTTCTTCCCTCCCTCCTCTTCTTATTCCCCCCATCCTTCTCCTCTTCTTCGCACCCTCCTCCTCTTCTTCTTCTTGCTTTTCCCGCTCATCCTGCTTCTTCTTTCGCCTTTTCCTCCTTTTCTTCTTCCTTCCGCTCCTTCTTTAAATTCTTCTTTCTTCCCCTCCTCCCTCTTCTTCTTTCTTCTCTTTCCTTCCCTCCTTTTCTGCTTCTTCTTTTTCTTCCCCTCACCTCCTCTCGTATCTTCTTTCTTCTCCTGTCTCTTTCTTCTACTTCTTCTTCTTCTTCTTCGTTTCTTCCCCCTCCATACCTCTTCTTCCTTTTTTCTTTCCGCCTCACTCCCTTTTCTTCCTTCTTTCCCCGCCTACCCCTCCTTGCCCTCGGTTCTTTCTTACTTCTTCTTCTTCCCCCTCCTCCCTCTATTTTGCTATTTCTTCTCTTCTTCGCGCGACCCTCCCGTTTCTCTCTTCTTTCTTTCCCCTCCTCTCTTCTTCTTATTTACTTCTTTCGCCCTTCCATGCGGCTCTTCTTTCTTCTTTTTCCTTTTTCTTTATGCCGACCCCTGAGTCGAGACTTCCTCCCTCTCGCTCTTCCTTTCTTCTTCCCCGTCCTCCTCTTTTATTCTCTTCTTCTTTAACCTTCCCCCCTGCCGCTCTTCTCTCTTCCATTTCATTCCAGCACCCGCGTCCTCCTGGCTTCTTCTTCCCATCCTCCTCCTGCTTCCTTTCTTTTCCCCCCCTCCTCCTCTTTCTTTTTTTCCTTATTTTTCTTTCGCGCCCGCCTCCTCTTATTCATATACTATTACCCCTCTCTCTTCTTTCCTTTCCTTCCCCGGCTTCCCAAGCCTACTTCATTTCTCTCACCCGATCGGCTCCTCCTCGTATATATCTTTTTTCCTTCCCCGCTTCGCTCTTCCTTACTTCTACCACCTCGCTTCTTCTCTCTTTCCTTCTTTACCCCTCCATGTTGTCCTCCTCCTCCTCCTTCTCTTCATGTTCTTCTTCACCCCCTCCTCGGCTTGTCCCACTCTACTTGATTCTGCTGGGTCTTCTTGCCCCGCCCTCCTTCCTCGCTCTTCTTATCTTCCCACGCTCCTCCTCTTTCCTTCCTTCTTTCTTCCGCACCTCCTCTCCTCGCTCGTTTCTTCTTCTTGCTCCTTCCCGCTCTTCCCTCCCCCTCTTCGCCTTCTTCTTCTTTCCCTCCCTCACTCTTTCATTCTTCTTTCCCCGCCTAACATTCCTTGCTCTCTTCTTCTTCCCCTCCTGTCCCTCTTCTCCTTTCTTCCTTCCCCCTCCTCTTCCTCCTCCTTCTGCTTTATCCTTGCCGCACCTACCATTTCTTCTTCGCTTCCCACTTCTTCCTGCTTCATCCATTTCTTCTTTCCCCCTCTCCTGTGTGCTGTCGTAGCGGTAACGATGCCTGCAAGTTTAGCAATCTTGCGGACCTGCGTTCAAATCTCCCACGTGGCCCAGGCCAGTGAATGGTAAGCGCCTCACCCGGGCATTCCTTTGCACACAGGGGGAGCATTTGGGCAAAGTAAAACAGCGGAGTCTATGTCAACAAGGCAAAGGAATATCCATTGTAACCACATGGATTAAAACTAAATCTATTTTAAAATCTTTAAAAATGCTTCTTCTACTTCTTCTTCTCCTCCTCCATATATTCATCTTCTTCCGCCTTCCCCTCTTCTCCCTTTCCTCTCATTTTTCTTCCCCCTCCTCCTCTTCTCGCTTCTTGTCACACCCTCCTCATCTTCTCCTTGTCCCCGCTCCTCCGCTCTCTTCTTCTTGCCACTGCCTTACTCTTCTTCCTCTTCTCACCTCTCTCTTCTTCTTCTTCCCCCTCTTCTCTCCTCCCTCTTCTTCCTTTCCCGCCCTCTCCTGCTTCTTACTTATCCGGCCACCTTCCTTCCTCCTTTCTTCGTTTGCCGTTCTCTCCTCTTTTCTTCTTTCCGCCTCCTTCTTCTTCTTCGCGGCGCCCCGTGCCTCCTCTTCTTCTTTACACCTCCTCCTTCCTGTCTTCTTCTTCCCCTCCTCCTCTCTCTTCTTCTTTCCCCCTCCCCTTCTGCTTCTTCTTCTTCCCCCCGTCCTCCTCTTCTTCTTCCCTCGACCCTCTTCCTCTTTTGTTATTATTCTTCACGCTCCGTCCTGCTTCTTCTTCTTTCCTCCCCTCCTCGTTCCCTTATTTTTTCCCCTAACTCCCCTTTCTCTTCCTTCTTCTTCTTTGCTACCTTCTCTTGGCTGCAGCCTCTTCTTCTTTTATCTTCTTCATCCCCTCTCTCCTCCCTCTACCCCACCCACCTCATGACCAGGCTATCCCGCCCCGTGTTCACTCCTTTCCCACCTCCGCTCGCTCCACCCCTCCGTCCTCCTCCCCCCTCCTCCTCACCTCCACCCTCCTCCTCCTTCCCAGCGCTCTTGCCCTCCGCCGCCTCCACTCCCCCCGCGCCTCATCATCCTGGTCGCGCTGGAGGACTTCACAAGCGCCGGGCGGGATTGCAGCGTTCGAGGCAGAAGTCGGGGAAATGCGATCATACTCTTCCTACCCCATCCAGCCCCCAAGGCCAAGCCCCGGCTTCGTGTTTCCGCTGTGCCATGGCCACGAGCAACCAATAAGGACCTCTGCCATGACGACCTAGGCTAATAAAATGACTAACAACGGCAATCACAATCTCTAAGGTCATCGTTCGCTTGGACGACGCTGATTGTGATCGCTATAACTACGACCAACGCTACAAGTACGCCGACGAAACACCAAGCGGCCAAACACTACACACTACAACAGCATCCACCACAACAACGACCACCGCACAACCCACAACTAACTACGACCAACTCACACCACGCACAACATACGACCACAACAACCCACAACCATACGTGAACCCCACCACACCACATGGATTAACGTACGATCACGAAACCAACACACCAACAACTACGGACACCGACACCAGACAACTAATACGACCTACACAAACACCGACAATGTTAGCGAACCACCAACACTCAACAACCTACGACCCGGCCAACACGCAAAACTACGACCAGCCAACGACCACACTACGACCACGCTAACCACTAACAACTACGAACCTACCACACCACAAATGACGTGACGTCAAAACCAAATACGGCCAACGCCACAACTACGACCACAGAACACCACAACTACGACCACCACACCACAACTACGACCACCAACACCACAACTACGACCGTCAACAATACGGCCAACACCACAACTACGGACCGACCAACACCACAACTACGCCACCACCAACAACTACGACCCCAAACACCTACGACTCGTCAACAATACGGCCAACACCACAACTACGACCACCAACACCACAACTTACGAAGGCCACCAACATCACCAAGCTAACGAGCCATCAACAAGATACAAGGCCAACGCCACAAAACTACGACCATCCATCAATACGGCCAACACCGACACTACGACCGACCAACATCGACAATACGACCACCAACAACTTGAGCCTGTATCACACAACAACGGGGCACCACCAACACCACCACAACTACGTGACCAATTCACCCAAACACCAACAAAACTAACGACACCAAACACCACAACTACGACCACCAACTCCACAACTACGAGGGACCACCACAGAACTACGACCAGCACACGACACGACTTCCAAAAGCTAAAAGCAATACGACCACCAATCATACAGCCAACAAAACTGACCATACATCAAACTACGGTAACGCAATCAACGGAAACTACGAGACACGCAACACCACAACGTACGGAACGGCGCACCGAAACATATTATGACCAACGGGATGTGTGCCAAACAACAGTACGAAACGCAACAAACTACGACCACCGGCAACCCCACGGCCAAACAACACTACGACTACCACCAATACACGTAAATTCAGCATCAACAAACTTACGGCAACACAAACAAGTAAGCGAACTAGAACCCACATCAAAGAGAACTAACCGGGAACCCATCCGAACACAAACTACGGGCTAAACGAGCAACTACGACTAACCCACACACCAAACTACGGACCTACCACAAACACAAAACTATCGGCCAAACACAACTACGAACACCAACATTACGACCATCGTACACACAACTAACGGACCGCACCCAAATTCAAACTGACGGAGGCCCATACGCCAACAACTAACGACACCGCGACTAATCACAATATCTAGCCACCTGCAACCAACACTGCGACCAGCCGAAATGAAACAAATGCCACGCAGGACTTAGAGTTAGATCGGCGACGACTCAATCGCCGCTACGACCAAACGCTAAGACATGTAAGCCTACGACGCCGCGCAACCTTAGCTCCCCCCCCCCCCCCTGCCTCCCAATGGATTCCAAGATATTAAAAGAAAATTTTAGATATGCTCTTAGTCTCTTTTATTGAATATGAATTAGTCATATTATCATCAAACTTCTCGTGCTTCACAAAAACTTCTCGTCTCTCTTTTCTCACTCTCACCTTCTCTCTCTCTCTTTTCCTTTTTCCCTCCCTCCCTGTGTCTCTCCTTCCTTCCTTCCTTCCTTGTCTCCATCTTTCCCACATCATCCCTCCCCCCCCCCCTGCACTTTTCACAGGGGCTCCCGGTCCCGTTGGAAATTCCTGACCCCCCCCCCCCTCCCAGGGTAAGAACCACTGCTGTAAAGGAGCTCGTTATTGCAGCTTAATGTTTATTGCGACCATTATTATTATCTTTATCATTATTATTGATACTATTCTATTCACCTTCCTGTTTATCTTGTTTTTCCAAAGGTATCTTTTTTTTTTTTTTTTTTTATGATTTTTGATCATAAATTATCTTTTATTTCATTTTATCTATTTTTTAGATGATAGACGTTTTGTTAGATGCTTCTAATTGGTTATTAAATAGTTTTGAGAAATATTACTCTGATTATGATGATTGATGTCTTTTGGTTCATTATAATTATGTTAATGCAAGAATTGCATTATAAAAGCTATAATAAAAGTAATGAAGAGAGTGTGTGTGTGTGTGTGTGTGTGTTTGTGTGTGTGTGTGTGTGTGTGTGTGTGTGTATGTGTGTGTGTGTTGTGTATGTGTGTGTGTGTGTGTGTGTGTGTGTGTATTAGTAAAAGCAAAAATAAAAAAAGAGAGAGAAAATAAACGAAATTTAGATAGTCGACAACAAGAACAGAACGAAATAATATATAGTAGTAAAGAAAATAAGAAAACAGTTTCTAAAAAAATAAATTAATAAATAAACAATAGCATCAACAACAATTATCATTGTCCATAAAGAACTGATAAATAAACAGCAAAAGAAAAACAACCAAATAGTCAGGAGAAACATACAACCTCGTTTTAGACTTAAAAAGAAAAACAATTGCGACAAATAAAGAAAATATCCGAATGAGAAGCGTATATATCTTCAAAAATACGGATTTGAGACGGAATGGAGACAAAAAAAAGACAGAAAAAAAGAAAAGACAAAGAGAAAGAAAGAAAAAGAAAAAGAAACGTTATTCCACTTAATGTCTCCTTAAAATTTGAGGATACATAAGCCTTGGAGGAAGAGGAGGAACATGTGTCATGTAAAACGAGGGATAAGTTTACTGTTGATTTTCACGTCTAAGGATTAAATGACAGAGTATGGTGTTGGGTTACGGTGGTCGTGCATGTGCGTTTAGCGGTGTGTCGTGGTGTGTTGTGTGTGTGTGTGTGTGTGTGTGTGTGTGTGTGTTGTGTGTGTGTGGTTGTGTGTGTGTGTGTGTGTGTGTGTGTGTGTGTGTGTGTGTGTGTTTTATGTGTTTGTTGGCTGTGTGTGTGTTTCTGTGTTTATGTGTTTGTGTTTGTGTGTGTGTGTGTGTGTGTGTGTGTGTGTTTAATGTTTCTGTGTGTGTGTTTCTGAATGTTATGTGTTTGTGTTGGTGTGTGTGTGTCTGTGTGTGTTTGTGGTCTGCATGCTTAATCATCTGAAACGCATCCCACAGCAAAGAATATACATTGTAGCAAAGGGACTTAAACTTGATCAAAAATATATATAATCACATCATCACTCTTGGTATAACTAGCTGGTATAACTGATATTCATTCCAATAAAAAAAAGTCAGAATATGACCTTGATTTTAAAATATGAAAGGGCAACCATAACTCTTACCGAAGCAGGGAGAAGAGAGAGAGAGGGGGGGGAGAGGGCAGGAAGACAGACAGACAGAGAAGAATATAATATATATATATATATATATATATATATATATAATATATATATATATATATATATGTGTGTGTGTGTGTGTGTGTGTGTGTGTGTGTGTGTGTGTGTGTGTGTGTGTGTGTGTGTGTACAGATTGAAATAAATACATCAGTATGAATAAATGAATGGATGAATGTATAAATAAGTAGATATATATAAATATATATACATATACATATATTTATACATGTGTGCATGTGTGTGTGTGTGTGTTTGTGCATGCCATGCGTGTGCACGTGTTACTGTATATATAAATCGACGATTAGAAAAAGCAAAAAAGAGAGAAAAAAAAAGAAATAAGTAGTCGACAACGGCAACACGAAATTCAAGGTCGAAATCCCTTTCACACAAAAAAAAAAAAAAAAAAAAAAAAAAAAAAAAAAAAAAAATCAAACTCCCACTTGCCTAATGACATCCCTCCTTATCGTTATCAGTCAAAAAGCAATCAGCATAAACCCGCCTTTCGCTGACGGCGTGACTCCAGATCAGCGTGCCATTAACGTGTTCTTCATCAGCTGTATCTGTTATTAAGCAATTCATATGAATTCTGAATAAAAATCCGTGGCCGATTTTGGGCTAATCAAATGATTTCGAAAATGCATGTTGATCGCAGCGTATTAATGATGGTGTTTAAAGAGGTGCGTAGGGTTATACAGTGATTATCTAATCTGCAGCGCTGATGGTGATCATTGACGGCAATTGTGATGGCAGTGTTGCAGCACTTGTTGAAATAGTTTTTAGTGTCAGGATTGCTATTACTTGTAGTTTCAGTGTTAGTATTTGTATTTATTATCAATATTGATAGAATTAGCCTTATCATTATTTTATTATCATTATTCATTATAATAGCAGCATTAACATAATTGTCATGATAATGATGATGATGATGATGTTAATCCTCATCATCATCATCACTATCACCATTATCATCATCATCCTTTTTGTTGTTGTTCTTAGAATTAGTTTTAGCGTCACAATCTTGATTATCATCATTATAGTTATGAGCAACCAGATTACCATTTTAGTCAATGTTATTTTCATGATAGCATTACATCCTTCTTTACAGAACCATCATCATCACATCAGCTGAATAATATGTATGAGCATTGTGACAGCTCATTTTTTTATGAATATGTGCATGCATGTTACAGAGGCATAATGTGCGCATGATTTGGAAAGCAAAATTTACGAGTCAGATGTTCATGGTTAAGGAGGAAATATTTTAAGAGGGAGATAAAGAGAGAGCGTGAGTGAGTGAGAGAGAGTGAGAGAGAGAGAGAGAGAGAGGAGAGAGAGAGAGAGGAGAGAGAGAGGAGAGAGAGAAGAGAGAGAAGAGAGAGAGAGAGAGAGAGAGAGAGAGAGTGGCAGAGAGAGAGAGAGAGATAGTGACAGAGTGAGAGAAAGAGAGAAGAGAGTGACAGAGTGAGTGAAGAAGAGAGAGTGAGAGAGAGAGAGAGATAGTGAGAGAGAGAGAGAGAGAGAGAGTGAGGGTCTGTGTGTGTGTGTGTGTGTAAGAGACAGAGAGAGAAGGGGTGAAAAGAGAGAGAGGTGAGTGTGAAGGGGGTAAATATAGGATAGACAGATACAGAGATATGAAGATATGTAATTAGCTACATAGCAAAATAGACAAACAGACCGACAGACAGATAATTAAACAGATTAAGAGACACACAGACAGACAACATCAAATATAAATGAAACAAATAAACGGAGAAACAAACATACAAACAAACTTAGAAAAAAAAAAACATAAATAGAATCTTCACAAGCGAATTACATAGATCAGAGTCAGTGACTTTACCACCTTGTTAGTTAATAATGGTTTAATGCCGTCTTGGATACCTTCTTAAGGTGGTGGCTCATGTGTCTGGGGTTTCTTCTCTCCGTCCACGGTAATCGGTCTCTCAATCTCTCTCTCTCTCTCTCTCTCTCTCTCTCTCTCTCTCTCTCTCTCTCTCTCTCTCTCTCTCTCTCCTCTCTCTCTCTCTCTCTCTCTCTCTCTTCTCTCTCTCTCTCTCTCTCTCTCTCTCTCTCTCCCCAAAGACTCGTTCAGATGAACCTGATGATGGTCCTGAATCAAGGGTGGAAAGCAACATTGCAAACAAGGCTAACAGTCACTACGGTAATCAAACGCTTGTTTCTTGACATTTATGGACAGCAGAGAGAATTTTATACAAAATACAAAGTATTTGCTTTGCTATTTGAAACGATATATATATATATATATATATTATATATATATATATATATATATATATATATATATATATATATATATATATTATTATATATTTATATATATATATATATATATATATTATTATATATTATATATATATATATATATTATATATATATATATATATTATATATATACATATATATATATATTATATATATAATAACTAGATTGATGATTGATTGATTGTTGACTGATTGATAGATTGATAGAGAGAGAGAGAGCTAGAGAGAAGTTATAAGAATATAAACACTATCATAAGAAAAAAATATATAGCGTATGTACTGAAAATGATGTTTTCTTGTAAAAGTGTGTGTTACCATTTCTAGAAGTGTCTTTGTTGTCACTGGAGTTGTCATGCTCATCGTCTCGTGTCAGTATTATGCCTGTAATCGGGCTACAGTTTGGTGATGTATAAAATTCTTATGTGCATGTCTGTCTCTGTCTGTCTATCTGTCCTTGGTTGTCTGTCTGTCTATCTCTCTTTCTCTCTTCTCTCTCTCTCTCTCTCTCTCTCTTTCTCCTT